GGGGGGGGGGGGGGGGGGGGGCGTGTCTGTGTTCTTTTGATGTGAGATGCCAGGCTGACGCCAAGAAGGCCGAGGGAAACACAGCTTTCCAGGCCGATGGGACCATACACGCCGAGTGATTTGATGTGCTGACTGAGACACCTGCAAGGCAAAGCAATTCGAGGTGGCAGCACGCCTGTACGCTGAGGCCATCGCCATAGCGGAGGCTCAGCTCGGCGACCCTCCCTCCATGTTGGCACACCAAAGAATGGACCGTACAAGTAGAAGAGTAGTCAAAGCAGACGACCCGTTTGATGCATCTTCAGCGCCAGCGCTTCGGCCAAAGACAGCAGTTCTCGGGGTTTGGGGCCAACGCGTCTTTAGCGTGGCGTAACGCTTGCTCATGAGCGCAATCTGCTGCCCAAGACTCGATGACAGACTTCCCGTGCAGTGGCACAACTGGCCAAAGCAGGTATCGACAAAAAGATAACAGCAGCGTAGATGAAGCCGTGGAGTGAATCCAGTCCTGGCACATGTTTCCAAACTTGAAGCTTTTGAGTGCGTACTCGCCTCATCCAGTGGCAGACTTTCTGAAAGGCTGCTTGCGCTGATGTCCCTGGCGTCTACTACTCGATGCCTGGCCGCAGCGGGTGTCCACAGCTCCCGCGACAGACTGGAGATCACGAACAACAAGCGCTCACTTGCCACAATGTTTTCGCAAGCAATTGTGTCCCCCCATGCGTGGATTGCGTGGATTATCCTTGCTACCGCATTCGTGTGCCATATCGTGGCATGGTGAGCTGAGGAATCGAGCGGTTTGTCTGGCATCTTTGCAAGACTGGGCCGCATTCCCAGCTTTTCGCGCATTGCGCACTTTCTGGGATGGCTGGGCGGCCGTGTTGAGCCCCTGTCGTCACCGAGGAAGGCACTCGGAATGATGCCGCGAAGGCTCCCGATGTCGTGGGTGCAGCGCGGACGCCGTTGTGCGCCGTTGTCCCGAAGATGCTAAAAGAGCAGGCGCTTGCGCGAGTGACAGATCTGTCTGCAGCCGCCATGAAGAAGGCATGGGCCAGCTTCTTTCATGTCCTCGAGAGGATGCATCGCAGCTCTTCGTTTCGAGGCTCTTTTTCAGAAGGCCCGGGCAGAGCTCCGGCTTCAGCTGCAGACCGAATGCCAGGCGCAGCACAGCGAAATTTGGCGTGCTCGCATTGCATTGCGACGGCAGGCGACCCTCAGCCTCGCGGAGCAGCTGGGGGTTCGCACCGAGGCCTGGGATGCAGGGCCAAAGCGGGTGGGGCCTGGGGCTAGGGCCAGGGCATGCGGGCAGATGCGCAGATGCGGGCAGAGATGTGAAGGTCGAGCGCCTCCTCAGTGCGTTGGAATCTCGGTCCTCTTCCTTTTGCTCTCGGTGGTCAAAGCTCTGCCGAGGCAAACTGAGCCGGCAGCTGCGCCTGCGGCCTCTCGGGAAGCACAGCAGGCCATGCATGGCCATGCCAAAGCGCTTCATGGGACAGAAGGGAAGAAGTTCCGCCTGGGCCAGGCTGCAGCCCCTCATGCACCAGCGGAGGTTAGACTGCCCAGCTGAGCTTCAGCCGTGCTGCTTTGTTGTGCTTTGCTAGCTTCTTATTCTATGATGCAACATGGTGCAAGAGCTAGGCCCTACGAGCAAAGGAGGCTGGGACGGCACAGTGCTCCCGCCCTGCGAAGGAAAGCACTTTACCGTGTTTTTCTGATTTCCTTGGAAAAGGTACAAGGAGGGAAACTACCGTGGTGCGCTGATGGAGTACCGCAGGGCGCTGGACAGGGCCGGCTCGTGTCCACTTATGAATCATCGGCAGTGGAGCTGCAGCACACGTCGTTCTTTCAAACACGTGGTCGGTGCATCAACTCCAGGACTTGGTTGACCAAGATGCTGCACTACGCGCGCAGTTGTTGGGCAACGTTGCGGCAGCGTGCTTTCGCCGGATTCGTTCTTTTGCTATCAGGCGGAGTGAAAGTGCATAGTGGAGTTTACTGTTCGAACAGGTGCCTCATGCTGAAGCGAACCAGCGAGACTGTGGACGCTTGCAAAGAATGTCTGGTCCAAGTCTCACTTTGCGCTGTTTGCAGCCCGCAAGCGCAGCCTTGTGCCTCGGGCCAACGGTCGCCTGAGGCCCTCGACCCCTCCAATGCGAAGGTGCGCGCCCGTCTTGCCTCGGCGCAGGCCCAGTTTCTTTGAGAAAATCGCGCATCCCAGCCAGACGACCTCTTCCTGGGTTGGGTCTCTTGGCAGGTCGCGACCGGTGACTTCGAGGCGGCTCGAGCCACGTTGGGCAATGCGCGAGCCTCCGTGGAGAACATGCTGCACTCGCAAACATGGCAAGCGCATAAGAGGGCCAGCCGACCCTTGCTCTTTGTCTCCAGGAGATCTTTGTGTAATCACGGGCCTTCTGTCTCGCGAAGGGCTGACTCTGCATGACAAGCAACACGCGGGTTGAGTTTCGGACAGAGGCCGGGGACGACCCGGTGTTGGCCAATGCGTTGAAGCAGATAGGCAAGCCTTCTGCATGATGCGTGTTTGCACAGTCTGCAATGCGTTCTCTTGCAGCGTCGGCCTGGACACGCCGGTGTTTGAAGAGGGCGAGTTTTGTGCAGGCAGTACCCAGTCGACTCTTGCGGAGGCGGACCAGGCAGTCCTGACAAGTCCAGACAAGACTGGGACTGGGCCATCATCGTCTGGTCTAGAAGTGCTCCGAGTCATATCCTTTACAGCGCATTGAAAGGCTCTCTCAAGTGGCGAGCCCGCGAAGGCATTGGCCACTCTGCACGCCTCCAAAGGGGCAAATGGGAAGTCACCGGCCGCCAGGCTCTGAACATTTACGCCAACCTGGAGTCCTCGGACGCCTCCTCGGATGGCCATGCCCAGACATGCGGATCGCACTTCGGCCCACATTCTTTCAGGTTCTTTTTGATTTTCCACCGTTGACCATGAAGATGGCGCAGTGCTACCTAGACTCTCGGATGCACTGCTACACCCTTTGGTATGAACCTATTTGGATCTATGCACCCGAGAGGCACTGTTGTCCGGTCCCCTTGCTGCATGTCTCAATGCAGGGCAAGGCAGTCAACATGAGTCTACAAAGAGCAAAGCCCGACAGGGCGCTGAGTTGAGACCAGCAGGGTTCAGAGTTCAGGGTATTGGCATCTCGAGACGGCTGCTTGAGGTTTCTGTCGTGAAGAAACGCATGCATGCGACGATTGCAGTCGACGATCCGTCGATGATGGCCTGGTGTCTGCATGACACAAATGCTGTTCCGGGACTGCTAGGTTGCCAGATCGATTGTGTGAGTTCACAAGCTCAGCTCTTCTTCGTCGCTTTCTCCCAAAAAAGCTCCAATCATGGAGAACTGGAGAAGCTTTAAGAGAGGCTCGGATGGGCATCGAACGGATGAGCGCTTGTGTGGTAAACGAGGGATCTGCAGTCCCAAAGTGAGTCTGCCGGTCGACGTGCAGGGCTTGCTCTCGTTGGTCTTGTCTTTGCTTTTCTGCACCCAGGAGCTAAAGCAGTATCCTCGAGTTCTGTGCCGCTGGCATGTGAGTCATGTGAGTGCGCTTGCATGCCGTAGTGCTCTCATATGCTTTGAGGAGTTGTCGATTGCCATGCCAGGAACACGACGCAGCAAATCCTGCGGACGAATCCGCGAAACACGGGTGCCTTGGTCCTCCGAACGCAGGCTGGAAACGTTTCAGCATTCTCCTCGCATAGCTTGTCATCGGCCGCATGGCACTTTGTTGCTCTTCAGCGAACAGACGTCCCTGTTCTGGATCCTGTACCTCAGAAAGCATATTCCCACTCAATCCGATTGAAGAAGTAGTTTCATCAAGCTGTGCTGAGCAGGACTTCATATCTCTGGATTTCGAAGACCAACAATAAGTGCATAGCTTGCATTGAACTCCCTGCACACCATCCAGACCAAAAGCCATCAAGATACATCAAGCGTCAGCACACTGAAGCTTGCAGGGCTTTTCGTCTTTTGCGGTCAGCTTGTGCAAGGTATGTTTTAGCATCTCTCCCGGGCCAATGTGTGCCGCGGTGCTTCATTATGAAGCAGCCCTTACTCTACCACAGCGAGGAAAGCCAGGCATCTTTCCGGTGTCAGCGAGCCGTCTCCCTCATTGACCCAAGCTCCGCGCACGGACCTGAGCATTTTGTAGCTGTTTACATGCATGCTGATCAGCAGTTCTGGATGCATTAGTGCATTGGGCTCAGGGTCAAGGTGCACCAAAAATGCAAGAAGTGCGAGTCATCGATGCCTGGCTCAACCTTTAGACCTTTGGTCGTCCAGTCGCTGGGGTGGGAGTGTGCCGGGCGCCTGGCACTCGCGAGGCAGTTCGCATCCATCCTGAGCGTGGGCCTCTGCGAGGAATGCCTGGCTCTCAGACGATACGAAGGATACGAAGTGTTGTTTAAGCGCTGCCCGATCAGGCTCCAAGTCTATGCCGCAACAGTGCGCGTGTTGAAGCCTGGCCGACATTGGCGGACAGTCGGAAGAATGGAAGGACAGCAAGTTGAAGCAACACTATGTAATAACGCAGATCTAAGACGAGCAACTGCCAGACTAGTGAAAATACTTTGAAATTGTAAGCCCATGATAATCTAGCAACAGCTGTGGATGTTCCCGAATTCGTAGCCAAGGGTTCTTGCTTGATGGGATTTCGCATCTACCAACTCTGCCAACCAAGCACTTGGCGGGTGTCGGGTGGCCGTAGTGTCGCGGATAGCCTCTCTCGGGATCGTAGCCTCCACACACTGGTCGGGCGCGGCCCTCGCCCCGTTGCTTTGTGCCGCTAGAAGATACTGTTACAATGGGAGAGGCGGGACGCACAGAAATACTAGAAATCGCGGGCTTCGTATCAGGTAGAGCCAAACTGCGCAACCAGAAATATGGCGGATCTGGCCTGTGTGACAGATGTTACACCAGGTTGCCGCAACTCTGCAGCAATGGATAGAGTGGAAGCTCGGGACTCTTTCCTCGCGGCATCAGGCATTGCACTGTACGTGCTAGGGGTTTGGGTTCGCCGCTGTCGCGCTGCCATGTCATCTCGGATTGGCACGGTCAGGTCATGCTTGCAATCCCGTGAAACAGTGAGTGGCCCCTGTTTCCTAGGCAATGCAAAGGCTGTGCAAGGAGATTGAAGATGCTACTCGGCTGTTTGATGAGGCATTTCGGGAGGAAGCATCTGCTGTATGCTCGGCGGTTTGAACTTTGTGAAAGGACGGAGATGAAATTCAAAACTGGCCTGTGCCACTCGGACTGCAAGGTTTTCCGAGTCAAGACGAGGCCAATTACAGGCCGGATTCTAGTCGGACATGGGCAGGTGATGACTGCTGGGCTTCCTGCAAGAAGGCGTGTTTGATGTGCGGTTCGAGCCTTTGCTGCGCTTCAGCCTGGTTCGTTCTGAAACATGCCATTAGAAAACTTACTTGCAACACTACTGCTAGTGTTCCATGTTTTGCAGCAGTCATGTGCAAGGACGATCTCTCTGGGTGAGTGGCTTCTCCCAATTCATGTCTTGCTTCTTAAGCCACTACCAGCGTTTCGTTGTCACCGAGAAGCAAGAGTGAAGGCCTGGCTGGAAGACTGCCATGTGCAAAGAATGCTCGAGCGGCCAGGAGGCCCCGTGCCGCAATGCCTTGCTGTCTGCAACTTCTGAGTGATTCTGGTTCCGTTCGGCCCGCCGTGCTTTCTACTCCCTGCCTTACGGCTGCGGAAGGTGAAGTGCAAAAAGTGCAACCAAGACGCAGTGAGTGCTATTCTCGATCTGGGCTCCTTTAATACTAGTCGGTAGTATTATGAGTCCTTTGATCAAACACGAAGCGATGATTACGAGTGCATCTCGGAACAACGGTTTCAAGAAGAAGGATGCCGACACCAGCAGCGCTAGACAGGCATGCCGACAATTGAACGTCATGATAGTCACAGTTAGAGCAACATCGCCAGCAGCACTGATTTTCATGGCCGGAGCAGTAGCATCAGTAGCATCGTGCCAGTCGTCGTGATCGCCGTCGCCGTCGTAGCAGCTGGCGGTGGTCGTTGCAGTGGTGCTAGTGTAGCGTCGCAAGGAAGGAGTGAAATATCATGAGGGTTAACAGGTGCAGACAAAGTAGTCTGTACCATGATCGCAGCCGTCGCAGTCGTCGGTGGCGGCTGCAGTCGCAGTCGCAGTAGTAGTCCTCATTGCAGCAACACGTAGAAGGGCAGGAGAAGGAGAAGCAGGAGGAGTAGCAGCGGGACGTAGTAGTAGTAGTCGTCGTCGTCGTCGTCGTGATGTAGTCGTACTCTTAGTCCTCGTCGTTGTAGTCGTTGTCGTACTCCTGGTCCTCGTCGTTGTCATTGTAGAGTGTAGAGGAAGAAGTAGCAGCAAATGGACAAGTAGAAGTAGAAGTCGCAGCAGCAGTAGTAGTAGTAGTAGTAGTAGTAGTAGTGGTAGTAGTAGCAATAGCCAAGGTAGTAAGACGATCTCGCTCGAGGAGATCGGCTGGCGCACAGGACCAATGTCCTGTTGGTCTGACAGGCGTTATTGACAGCGGATGTCTTCTTCTAGCAGCGCGCTGTACCGCAGGAGTATGTAATGAATGCTACGACAACATCGGCGGATGCCGTGCTGCTGTTTCCAGGAAGCGTCCTCACATCCGACCCTTGGCTGCAAAGGATCGCTTAAGCTTCCGACACGAACCATGCCTTCGAACCGAGGTTTGTGCGATGCTTGCTACGCGAAGTACAACACCGTCTGTGTTCGGTGCAACGAGAACATTCCCGATGATGAGCTGCTGATTGGCTTTGTTCGGGTTCTTGTGCGTCTATCTTGCCCCCGGAGTTTGCAAGCCTGCATGCAGTCTCGAGCAGGATCGAATGCACATCTCTGCAGGATCATGCGCACCGTTGTTTAGGACATGTTGTGCAGGCAAAAGAATCCTAGGACTAGCAGAGCGGTCTGACCTGAAATGCTCACAATGAAAATGACGCCAACTTTAGGCACCATCCTACACAGTAGAAGTTGAAGGTGGCAACCAACGAACGAGAACAGAGTGGACTGTCATGACAGAAACTTCAAGAAGCATGAAGTGCCAGTTTGTAATAAGATGGATGCTAGTAGGCTGTTGCGAGGCAGTCGTGCGAGACTTTAGTGATTGCCTTCTTGCAACCGAGTTTGCATCACGCAATAATTTCAGAGTGGTCGCAATCAGCGCATCGCCTCAAAGACAACAATGCTGGCAATCGCAGTGAGAAGCAGTGAAGGTTGTAGTGTTGCGCAACAGAATGTTGTAGCAAGGGCAGCACGTCTTGTGTCCGCTAGCAAGCAGATCTGTTGTCCATACATGTACATGCCAAGGAGATATACTTCCGGTTTGTGCGACTTTTGCTACAAGGCAGGCTGATACCGAGTCCGATGCATGAAGCGGCATTGAATGAAGTGATGCCCTTGCCAGGATTGTGATAAGAAGTGTACTTGACGCTCAGTTGCACTGCGCTAGGAGTAGTTTCTCTTCACAGACACTCGTCAGATTGCTTTTGCCGGCGTCCTACTCGAGTGCAACTGAGGCTGCAAGAAGAAGATCCCCCTCAAGCAACTGCGCTGGGGATCTGGACTTTGTGATGCCTGCTACAATAAGTCCTGCACCACGGCTGCAAAACCATAATGCTACGCAGACCAGATGTTTGCTGGGTGTGGTCTGTCAGGCTTGTGTTCAGCAGGCACGCGACTGTCGCAGATATGCAAGGCCAAATTCTCTGGCTCAGAGAAAGTCTCAGTTTTAGAATGTTTTAGATCGTGTTAGTGCAAGAACTGCTTCATCGCAAAAGCTGTCAAGGCAGGGTAGTGCGATCACGCCAAGGTATGGAATGTAGGATGTGCAGAGCAGCCATCAGTTCCCTGGCTGCAATGTTGCGAGGTTGAGACTAATTACCGGAAGCTTCTCGCTGTTTCCCAGATCCGGTTTCGCAGGTACA